TAAATCATTAAAACTGCCACCTTACGGTATTCTAAATCATTAAAACTGCCACCTTACGGTATTCTAAATCATTAATACTGCCACCTCTCTATTTCCTTTAAAAATCAAAGTTTACAGGATAAAACATTCGTTAATATTGGATTAATGATAAAAATTAGGCTTATCTAGTATTTAGTTTAATAACTCAGAAATTCCGTGTTTTACTACTTTCTATTTTAGCCTAACATCTTATATTTCTATATTTCCAGATAAAGCTTAGTATCTAACCTTTTTCCTTGCTACATCGATGGCAAGTACCAAAGAGAGGAGATAGGCAGCGCCCTCTGTAATCAGTACAAGTATAAGCTAAACTCGACTAAGGTTCATAACTTTACGCACGTGATCAATAGCCACGTTTTGGTTGGAGGATCACTGACATCTATGTAGGCCAAACGAAACTTCTGGGTCAGAATGATGTTAATGTTACCTATTTCGTGCCGTGTTTGCTAGTACATCATAATAAGTTAAGTGACGTAATTATTCTATATTTGGTCTTCTCTTGAGAAGTCATAAATAAAAATACTTGTATTTAAGAAATTACAAAATAGTACATTTTTTTAATATATTTCATTATTAACTCCATGGGAACATAAACGTATGTAGTAGCTTTGATTATAGACCCCAAGAAATTATAATTAAGCCTAGAACTTCTAACTCATCCGAGTTATTATTTCAATTAATCATTTTTAATTCAAAAATTAAAATAATTCATTCTGTTTCCCTCAAAATGTTCTATGTTACAATGGTTAATTAAACACTATCTTACAAGTACCTTAAATTTAGTTATATTAATTAATATTTCATTTAAGATAGAATATTAAATATTTTTAGTGCTAATTAATAAAACGTTTATTCATATTTACCTCTTTCATTATTATATTTTTTACTTTAATCCTCGTATTCTATTAGAATAAACATCATTTGTTATTTATAAGTAATAACTTTTATTCTAGATAAATAATAATATTATATTTATTAGTAAATATATCACAGGAAATATTTTTAGTAAAGTCATATCTTCTATAAATTTTCAATGAAGACAACAAACAACTTCAGATAAATGTTTTTTTATTCTACTCAACGTTTCGGTTTATGCAACTTCAGATAAATGTTTTTATTCCACCAACGTTTCGGTTTATGCAACTCCAGATAAATGTTTTTTATTCTACTCAACGCTTCGGTTTATGCAACTTCAGATAAATGTTTTTTATTCTACCCAACGCTTCGGTTTATGCAACTTCAGATAAATTTTTTTTATTCTACCCAACGTTTCGGTTTATGCCTTTTTCAAGGCTATAAAATGTTTGATTTTTCTCATCTTGTGATATTGTGTTTTTAGCCGCGGCATAGCAGCTCATAGAATAAATGTAAGTTTTTTTGGTTTTTGTTGTTTTTTTCAAGTACAAACTTTTAGCTCATAGCTCCGTCATCTCTTGACCAATTTGAGATCTAATAACAGCTTTGGACTCAGGAACCCAAACTTTGACCAAAGTTTCATAAATTAATTTACGCTAATCCTGCCTAAAATCATTTCAAGTGCCGCGGATATTGAGAATTCTCTTTTGTTTATAATATTATTATCTAATGAAACAATTGGCTTTAGTGAAGTTGAATAAATTTCTTCTCGTGTTAAAAATATACACTGAATTATTGACTGTATCAATGAAAAGTAAAGAATTCTTAACATCTGTAGGCTTAACAGTTTGTTCAAATGGTTTCATCAGTTTGTAAGTCTAAATATTTTAAAACATCCACTCTTTCAATCTGCAAACATTTACAGTTATTATCTGTACACCTATTTTTATATAAATCTACATTTTTAAAATCATTTTCATTCATGACCATTTGATTTGTAATTAAAAATATTCTGCTAATTCTTCATTTTATTTATTCGCGGTTAAGCACAAAGACCCACACTGGGGGGTATCTGTGCTGTGCCATCACGGTATCGAAACCCGGTTTTTAGCGTTATAAGTCCCGCAGATTTTCCGCTGTGCCACTGGGGTGGCAGATGTGTTTGTTTGTTTTATAACAAATTTACTGTACGGAATCAAACCCTGGCTTTTAGAGTTGCAAGTCCGTAAACTTGCCGCTTTTCCACAGGGGAACAATTGTGTGTGAATAAAGGTGAATGTTAATACTGTATCATCAACAAACACAATAATTTTATAGTTTAAACTTAGATCATGTAAATCATTTATATACATTCTAAAAAGGCCCGGCAAGGCCAGGTGATTAGGGCACTTGACTCGCAATCTGCGGGTCGCGGGTTCGAAACCCCACCAAACCA